CAGTTCACCTGAACTGAATTAGCTTTACTACGGGCCAATGAAATATGAATATACACACTCATTGGCATAAGTATAATAGTTTTTTCAGGAGGGATCTGAGTCTTATTGTTTTCAATCTAAGTAGTAGTTGCTGAAAGCTGGAAAAGAGAAATAAAAAAAATTTTCAAACGGCTCCCAATTTCATCGTTTGGGATTTCTCAAAAGGAAGCCCTACGATGTGCAAAGAGTAGTGCTTCATAACGAGTGCAAAAAGAGGTAGCCACTGCATACAAATGAGAATCAATCATGTCCAAAAATGACTAATTTACTTGGTGTGCCTTACTCAAAAACCTCATAATTAGTAGAACTCGGCCAATACAATCAGTGTGGCGTACCATACAATATGCTGGAACCTCCTGATGCCACTCAGTCATTAGCCTGACTAACTGACTGTTCTAACACTTTTGGTTCCGGCTACATAAGACAATCACAATTCAAATTATCTCGAGATTCACGGCATCAAGCTTGGACTAATGTGGTTATCCACTTATTTGTTTGCTAATTTGTGAACTACATACAAAGTGCTCCAAAAACTAACAAAGAAAGGGTACTGGACGTGGCCCTTTGAAATGAAACGTACATCATGAAATGCATCTTAGAGTGCTGATTTCAATTCTGCTTGTACCTGTTGTGCGCTCTTAAGAAAAAAGTTAAGATACTGCGCCTTCGTCATGCAGTAGCCTATAAATAAATTAATGTCTAAATCTCGTTATTCTCGCAGAGGCAACTTGAATCTGAATCATCCTACTGAACATTTGTAATAGTTGCTGAGAGACAACCACTTTGAGCGTAAGCGAAAATGGAAGCAAAATTTTGGCTGGCTCCTAAAGGACTGGCTCCTCCTCCTCCTGGCTCCTCCTCCTCCTAGAGCTTGGCGATTACTTGAAGTGTGGTATTTGATATGGGCAAAGAAAGAGTTGTGCTTACTTTTTTGTTAGATTTTAGGGTTATTAGGGTCTTTTTAGACTCTATCGTTTGTGCAAAGAAGTGGAGGCTATTCCAAAGTCAACATGTCAAGACCATTTCATTTGGTTGACCGAATACTTGAAATCTCAGATTCGCTGAAACTTAATCCGCAAGAGTTATTTGGGATTAATTAGATTTGTTACTGAACATTTGATAGGGTCCACCTTAGGTAAACGATAGTGCTGGAGGGTCTACTGAGAAGTAATCAGGGAGGGCGAGATTGTAGTTGCGTGGCCAATCCTCTTGCTCGACTAGGCCTTCACTTCGTCGGAGCTTAGGTAGTCTTTCAATGGAGTTCAACCATCAACGAGCACCAGTTTGCACTGTTAGTAATCCTGGGCACAACTCAATTCGAGAAATGCTGAGGTTCCCACGAAGTGGGGGCATCGAAATATTAGCCTGACCATAAAGCTTCCGGACAATCTTAGTTTTGCTTGCAGAAGACAATCATAAATCACGGTTATTTTTAGATAAGAGTTATGCAAGCGCTGTGCGAAATCCATCAGAAGCTATTTGGGTCTATCAAGCTTTTAGACTAAATCGAAAGGGAAATGGCGAAAAGAGAAATGATAAGCGACATTAGGAAAAGGAGGAGAGCATTAGAAGTACGCAAATGTTTTGTTTGAAAATGCTTGAATCGCACCTGTTTTCAGCAAATGAAAAAGCTTAATGTAGCTAATAACGTACAGTGCATAATTGTGTGATAGCGGTAGCGCATTAGCGCAAGTTAATATAACATTAAGAGCTTTTTTGACCATTGAAATCTAAAAATAAATGGTCGCTACATATATAATCCCCAGGTAAAATCTTACCACACATACATCGCATTTGTCTTTTGAGGTTTACTAAGATGATAGCTCTCACCAAATATAATACATCTAACGCTTCTTGTTATATTGGGTTTATTCATAACTAAAGCAAGTTCTTCGTAGCTCTTCTTTCAAAGGGTGGTTTTCAGAACAGTATCTATCTCGAACACTTTTTATGTATTTTAGAGAGCATTTCTTCTAGTGAATGTCTTTTTATGATTGCCTTGGTTCTCGTACGTCTTTGTTCTTTCCAAGGGTTTAAGCGTCTAATCTCAGTGAATTAAATCATAAAATTTTCACCCTTCTTTCTGCCTGCTCGCCCCAAATCCACGAATAATCATCGGGTTTGATTCAAAATGTTTGAATAACGAATGCGAAGCCTTCTACTAAAAAAGCTTTACTGAGTGAAATTTTTTGAAGTTTTGAACTAAGAAGTTCTATTACAAACTTGAGCGGTCGTTGTGTACACTGTGCCTAAATCTTAAGCAGAAAGCGATTTGAACCTTCCGCACTATACAGTTACGGTAGACCCAGTATATGAAAGCGGTAGGAATTCTCACATTACGTACATCGAAAAAGTGAGTACTTCCAAAAATTTTGCAATATTTTCCCCTAAAAAAGTCCGTAAATTCGGAGCTTGACACCGCTACATAACCGACCACTGGCTATACAATGAGTAGTGTGCGCGTTATCCTATTCAATTTCACAGTAAGTTATACCTGTAAAATTAGGCTTCCAAAAAAAATTTTTTGTATTCTTTATGCTAGAAAATCTCTTGTAAATAACGCCTACACTCACAAAATCGTAACTTGTCAGGTAAAGATTTGCTTTTTATTTTTTTACTGGGCTCAGAAATAGCGTTTAGTGGTATTTCGATTTAGACTAAAATCATAGAAAACTTACGTTAATTATGAATCAACTTACTATTGATATCAAATACAGCTACAACTTTCAGCATAAAGCAATTGCGAAGCGTCAATAACGATGATGCTTTCGAAAGTTATTTTTATGGTAAAATATCCAGGTTGCAATTTACTAGTGCTTATGATCGATTTGGGTCATTTTCAGGCATCCCTTATCTTCTTCGCGCAGGCCTTGTGGAGGCAAAACAGACCTCCCCCTATCAGAATTCCTCCACCTGGAAATTATGGTCATGATCGCCCTCCGGGCAATCCATGGCAAGTAGATCGCAATCCATTTGTTGGACCGCCGTATCACTTCCCTCGACCACCTCCTACGACAAGACGTTGGTGGGGACGTGGTCGTTGAGCTTGAGAATCGCTTCTACGATTCATCCTTTTATGTTAATGCGAAATTGCATTAATAAATTTGAATCTTTACATGTGATTGCTTTCTAAATTCCAATAGCACACATATTAATATTCTTCCGAAGCTAAATCTGCAACGCGCCGTAACACAATCATACGAATGTGGGTTCAAATGCGAAAAACCTATGAAACTCCTGGTTATAATAGTCAATGAATCACACAACGCTGTTGAGACATCCGCAGCGTCCCGGCAAATTGATGGGATTTCACAGCGTTGTGTCGGTAAGCTCCCCAATAACCTAACTGTGAAGTCTGAAACAAAAAAGCATATAATCCACCTCGTAATCCTATAATCCACTTCGAAATCCTTTCAAAACCCCGCTCCCTCGTTTCGGACCCCGCCCACTTACACGCATTTTTCGCGAAGTGGATATGGAGAGCCTCTGAAAAAGCTAATTTTCAACGTTTTTACGCGCTGAAAAGCCTAGATACGGGGTTAGCCAGTAAAGGAGTCCGAAGAGGGAGGCGGGCGCGGAAGACTTCGGGCGTATTTCCTCTGAATGCGGACCTGGGAAGCTCAAGATGCCATTTCA